ATGCTATGGCCTAAAACATAGATCATAAGTATTTTTATCAATGGACTTTTGTGTCTTACCGTACGGTTTTCTGGGATCGTTCTAGAAAACTGAATGCTGTTAGTCAGCACATACTGTTTTATAAGTGACAGCTTATGTTAGGAGAAGGAGCATGTGTTGGAGATTGAGATTCAAACTACCTATCTGGTCTGTAAAAACCGGAATGTTTATTTGCATGCAGAGTAGTACAAGGGAGATCCGGTCGTGTGGTCACCCGAGACGCATGTTCATGTGAGCCACAGTGACTTTCTCTATTCCGGTCTGTGTGATTTCTACTCTTGTGATTTGTTTTTACTACACACAAAAAATGTTGTTTTATTGTTAAGGAGACCGGTTTTCTTGGAGAATTTTCCTTCATTCAAACTTTATGTTTTTTGATCTCTCAGTCAATGCAGTAAAAATGTTAATGTTTTCTCAGCGTCCCCTAGCAGATTACTTCAGCCATGCTTCCTACCACTGTAAAAATAACATTTGGAAATGTGGTGGTGCATCACTGCGAGCGTTTTAGCTTTTGTTATAGAATAAACATTGAGTTGATTTTAATTGAACCACCTATTCGGCTTTATTTTGGCAACGACCCTACAGAGAGGGGCAGACCGAACACAAAATCCTTACAGATTGAACTCTTGCACATGTGTGTAATACATTTAGAAAAATGTTGACATTCTACCTTCTTGCAAACCCTGATGATCATCAGGTTCAAGTTGTTGAAGCACAACGATACGTGGTTAACGTTGTGAAAGAGGAAAGGATTTGGGCAATAAAGCTATTTTGTTGCTGAACAACAAGGCTTTCTTAGGCAACGTTGTGTAATAATTGTAACAATGGCCACCTTTAGTCTTTCAGCCATCCACGAGGACTCTCGCCCACTGTCTGGATCTTTTTATCCCATAATACTCATTATATAACGTAACTTTCAATAATACTGGCTCCATGCACAAATCCACTTAGCCAAATTGAAAAAGAAATCGTGTCCACATTGAACACATCGTGACTTACATACAATAACAACTGGGCTTCTCAGGGAAAAACTTTGGCTTGATTAAAATCCTATGTGGCTCTGCTGTGGATCTATTTTCCCCACCACAGCAGTTGTAAAAATCCACCAGATGGGTCCTTGGTCTAATTGGGTCAGTGCTGGCAAAGTGGAGAAATACCACCTGCTGCCTCTGGAAGAGGGTCCATGTACCTAAATGCTCATCACCATCCTTACAATCGGGGAACATGCTGACAACAAGAAAAATATCGGATTAGGTCAACCTTTTGGTCCATGAACCACTATATTGCCTCTTGCGTACCACCGGTTTCCTATTAAGTTGCAACCTCCTAAATTAGGAGGTATAAACATGGAACAAATAAAAGACGTTTACAATCCATCTGCAACACTGCTCTATTCTCCCCTGGCACAGAAATAAGTCCCATGATCAAGGATAAGCTGACCCTTCACCACGAGCATCAATCAGCCTCGTTATCTGGACCGCTGCGGGCTTCCTGGAGGAAAAGTAATATCCAACTGCTGCGATTGAAAAATCTGCCAGTGAAGCACTTTTCTCCTCATCTAATACACATACACTGAATCCCCTGGTAGTGAACACTGTGGCTAAAGATGGCTGGATTATTATTAACCAACATGCAGGGAACTCATTCCAACACACTCAGAAGAAAAGGAAACTGAAGTCTGCAGAGAAATCACTCTGCAGAATGGGCAATAAGCTAAAAGGCAAAAGAACTCTCACAGGACACTAGCGCGGGATGGAAGTTATGAGCTTTTATTGCAAATTACTGTCAAACAGCCAAATTATACCATGCTGCCTACATTGACAGTATAAAATCAACAAAATGGGAAAACATCCAAGAGTGGTGAATACTTATGCAAGGCACTTCACACAAACATCCCAATCCCTCTTGGTTCTCCAAGTGTTTCACACTAGCCCATCATTAACGCAGCAATCCCCCCCTCCCCCCTCGCCCAGTACATAAAGCGGCCCGGTAACTGCATATGTTTTTTTAATGTTTTTTTTTTGTAATTTTGATCTTCGGGCCTAATGCCTTTTCATTTAGCTTGGCTGCCATTCTGGTGCCAACCCTCACACTGCCTATTAAGAAAGCCCCAACCTGATCCCCAGAGCATGTCTTTGGACTGTGGGAAGAAGCCGGAGAACCCGGAGAGAACCCACGCAGACACGAGGAGAACATGCAGACTCCACACAGAAAGGCCACTGGGCGGAGTCGAACACAGGACCTTCTTGCTGTGAGGCGACAGTGTATATAAGGTATAAGGTGTAAAAAAAAAAACTTTCAATAAAAAAAATGTATTCTACTGCCGCTGTATGTAGGTATGCTGGATTTGAATTGTAACCGATGGAAGCCACCAGGTGGCAGTACTGTCTAAATGTGTGTTAGTGTGGTCGAAGAAGCAAGTTGCCGTGTTTTTGATTAACGGGATAATACATGCAATGCCATGCATTTTGCCAATAGTATTTATTCAGTATGTTTTTATTTTATTTACACTGTGTCAACGGCTTAAATATAGCCTGTTCAAATGTGTTTATTGTGACCCACTCAGGGTCAAGTTTGACATTTTTATAACAAATTGATTGAACTATACTGACTATTAGTAACTCTCGATGACATTTACTTTTTATAAAGACGTTTACAGCCTTGCTATATTTGAGTCTGAGCAAATGACCTTACATTAACAGTAAAGTTAGATGATCTTGTTTTTATATTTATTTATTTTTGTTTACTTCCTGGTATCTAATGACAGTATGCTGCATTGGACCTGTAACCGCTGGTGAGGCGGATAATAACACAATAATAACATGTCCTTGTTGTACTATACACCACCTGAACATTGTTCCAGAACAAAACAGCAACTAACAAAGAAGCATCAAGCTACTCAGTCAGACCAAAAAGAAAGAGGAGTGAGGCGAGAAGGTGATGGGGAGGGGGAGACATGTAGGGGAATGATATAGGATGAGACGTAGGTTGGCGGGGATCAGTTGCAAAAAAAGAATTAGAGATGAGAGGAACAGAAGAAAACAAAACAAGGGACCAGATGAAGGACAAGGTGAGGTTAGACCATGGGCGGAAGTAATACCTGTCGCAAAAGATGAAAGTGAAGCACTGAAGGGAGGGGAAACTCCAGATGCCGGATCACTTTGTCGGCTTGACCATCGAGCATCAGGGGCCGGGCTGAAAGTCAGAGCTGACAAGACTGACATCTAGTGGAGAGAAACAGCAGCTTATCTGTTTTGTTTTTCTCCCTTATCCTGTTTTACATTTATCTCTCCTACATTCTCCTCTTTCTAGTTAGACGCAAAGGTACCGAGGCTTCAAGCACATATTCTTTACTGAGTGAAATGAACTGTAGGAATCATCAGCGTGGTGTGGCTCACACACTGGAAATCAGTCCAGAAGTCATCGACTTTCTTAACCTTGAGACAAGTCTACTGTCTGTGTTGGTGTGCAGGAGAATGAGGCTTTCTTACTTCAACTCATAAAAAAGTAAAGTAACAATACATTTTTAGACACATACATATTGAGAATTTCTATTGTGCAGCTGGAAGTTTGGTGAAATAAAGAGTTGTCTCTTTTTATAAACTTTCATTAATATGATATGTATTGTAGAGTAGAAGTATTGGTTAGCCTTGTGGAAAGCCTTGATGTAAACATATCTAAATCCACTTTATATTTTGGGGTTGAATATAGTTTTGACTCAGTTCTATTAATTTTTTTTCATACAATTTTTTGTTTGCCGGTCAGATCAAAAAACCACTGAAACTTGGCTACGAATGAACTTTGTTTTTAATTTGTAGTACACCACACCCAGGACTACAGCTCCCTGTTCTTACCTTAAAGAAGGTATCGTATGACTTACTTGGAGATGTGAATGTCTTAAAAATCTGCTATGTGTTTTCTTTTTTCCTTCGACTGAGCCTGGATTTCAACCGATTTTTGATAATACAATCTTCTGTTTTTGACGATTCAGAAATCAATTAGCATATTTCTATTCTTGGAATATAACACTTAGATTGGTGCTGTACAACAATATAGTTGAGTAAATCCCCCATGTCATGTCTTCCCACCTTAACATCTGCAACTCGGTCCGAACGGTGGCTGTGTCACACTGGCTCACTCTAACAGGTCAATTTGTGATCCTTTATATTGCATGTTTAAGGTGTACTCCAGATGCAGTATCCCGTTCGGATTACTCTGTTGGGATGGAATAACAAAGAATAGCAGAGACTTAGATATCCTGTCTTTTACTGCTAGTATTACAGTTTTTTTCGATTGCTAAACGACAGTGAGCACAACTGGAACTACATGTGCAAAACTCTAACTCCAGTCTGCACAGCAGCAGCTCATGTGGACCAAACTCTAGTTCATTTTTCATTGCTTGAACACAGTTTTCAAAACTCTACACACTTATCCCATGACTTTAACCACAACCTGCACAACACTGTGGATTTACAGCACTTTGTTCAAATGCTAACACACTGCTGTCAAAACTGTGAACCACACATTCAAAACGGAATAGATTTCAGCCTTGTGCCTTTCAAACACTGCTGATTGCAATTTCAGCTGAAAGGCTAAGCAGGTGTCTTGTTTTAGACTTGTTAGTGAACACACACAAAATATATATATATACACAGGTAAAGCTCAGAAAGACTAATTTTGGAAATGGAACAAGGAAGACGGGTTCGTGGAGGGAGAAGGGTGGCAGGGAGAGGGCGGGTTTGTGGAGGGAGACAAAGAAGACAAAGAGCTGTTATTTCAGATGAAATAAGGGCTACACTTATAGACCATGTCGTGAACCATGGTCTCTCATTGAGAGAGGCAGGGTTGAGGGTGCAACCCAATCTGCAAAGATCCACAGTGGCATCTGTAATGCGAATTTTCCATCATACAAACAGGTGAGAGTTACATCCTTATAGTAAATGAAAACATTACAGGAATTTATTTTGTATTGCAATTATGGAATATTTACACAAATATATATTACAGTAAGTTTGACTGTAAAATATATTTTTACAACAGGACCCAAAGGCTGCCCCCAACAGGAGGAAGAGCAAAAATATTTTCAGATGCGCAGGAAAATGCTATTGTTGACATGGTTGTTGTCAACAATGCAATAAAACTGCGGGAGATTCAAGATAGAGTGCTGGCTGATAATGATATATTTGAAAATGTTAATTCTGTCAGCACAACAACTATTGCTCGAGTCCTACAGAAACACCAAGTTACAATGAAACAGTTATACACTGTACCGTTCGAGAGGAACAGTGAACGGGTAAAAGAGCAAAGATACCAATATGTCCAGGTAAGACGTCTGAGGTTACATACACAGCTATTACTGTAAAAATATTTACAGTAAAAAAACCACTAGCATTACTACAGTTACGTAAACTGTGCACTTACTGTTTTTCAGAGAGTAATGGAGGTGGAAGCACTGGAAACACCACATTCATTTGTATTTATCGATGAAGCTGGATTTAACCTTGCCAAAACACGGCGCAGAGGAAGGAATGTTATAGGTCAAAGGGCCACTGTGGAGGTTCCAGGCCAAAGGGGGGGAAATATAACCATGTGTGCTGCAATGGCCAATGATGGTTTGCTTCTCAACACACCACTCATTGGCTCATACAACACAGAAAGGCTTATAGCTTTCCTAGAACAGCTCTATGCTCAGCTAGTGCCAGCAGAACAGGGGGAGCCAGTAAGAAACCCCCAAGTTTTTGTCATAGTTTGCGATAACGTTGCTTTTCACCACTCTGCAGCTGTCACAGATTGGTTTGCAGCACATTGCAGATTTATAGTTTTGTACCTGCCTGCATATTCACCCTTCCTCAACCCAATAGAGGAGTTTTTCTCTGCCTGGAGGTGGAAAGTGTTTGATCACCACCCACATGACCAAATGTCTCTTTTGGAAGCCATGCGTGCCGGATGTGAGGCCACAAGTCCAGAGGACTGCCAGGGATGGATAAGGCACTCCAGAAGGTTCTTCCCCAGGTGCATGGCAAGAGAGAACATTAGATGTGATGTTGACGAAAACCTGTGGCCTGATGCTAGAGAGAGGCAGGATTAGCCCCTCAATTATTTGTTAGAATTAAAGTATGTACTTTTAGTTTCTACCTTTTTTTTCTCATTACTGTAATTCTGTAAATTACAGTACAGACTATTGAAGCAAACTGCTAATTTTCATTTACCTTAAAGAATTGTTATGTTCTAAAAATGTAAATAAAATAAATCATGTGAAAGAATGTCAATCTTTTCATTGAAGAAAATATTACTTTCTATGAAGTCACTGAAATTGTTCAAACTGTAAAGATGAAAATTTAGTATTTTCTGTATTGGTGTTTGATGCTAGTGTTTTTACTCTCCGTGTGTTCTGAGTGACAGTGTGTGTTATCTCAGTGAGGGTTGTGCATAGTGTTTGGCTGCACTGAGCCTGTTTTGAGCCATGTGTTAAGAGTTATGTTGCTTGGAGTGAGTTTTGCAGGTGATGTGAACTGTTTAGCTCAGGTGACTGTTGGTAGTGAAGACTGTAGTTAGAGTTTTGCACATGTAGTTCCAGTTGTGCTCACTGTCGTTTAGCAATCGAAAAAAACTGTAACCACAGTCCAGAAATCACATCCTATACTTTGCATATTATAACTATATAGCATACCAGCATCTATATTTTGTTCTCTGTGATGGACATGTTCTTTACACGTGGGCCTTTTACATCTATTTTTAATCCTTTGACCATAATTTAGGCGTCCAGACTCCTGAGATGTCTTTATTTAAATATGCACAACACCACACTGACAAAATACAATCAGACCCCTCTGAGGGAGACGGTGGGAAAGACACTTTAAATGAATCTATAACAGCCGCAGCTCAAACTTCTGATATCATACAGATCCTCTTATTTTGTGTTATTCAATTATTGTTGCATGGGACAGGATTTTTTCTGTTTCCATCTTTTATCAAGAGTCAAAGGAGTGATGCAATAAGACACTTAGATGTCCTAGATGTTCATTGGGCCGAGTTTTAATTACTCCTGTCACATTCATCTCTGTCTCTTAATCCAGCAGAAATGTCGCCATATATTTATTTGAAATACTAATAACATCAAGCTCAAAACAAACATTTTATTTGTCCTGAAATGTCACATCTTTAGTTTAGTAGCAAAGATGTCAATATCCTGACAATAAGTGCGTGTCCGAAGCACAAAATGATATCGTCCTGAGCCCGTCCGCCGTGTCCCGTGCTCAACAGCAGTTGCTAGCCTCCGGTGTCTGTTTGTCCCCTCCCAGCCACAGCGGGGCGCTGTTGATCTTGGCACTCTGGGCCCTGGTCTCTTTCGACTCGCTCTGCATCCCCCCTCCCTCGCTGGCCACACGCTTGTGGATCTCCGAGGCCATGGTGAGGAAAGCCCTCTCCACGTTGTCTGAACTCTTGGCGCTCGTCTCCAGGAAGGGGACCTTGAGAGATGAGGCCAGGTCCTGTAGAGGGCAAAGGGGGCAAGGGAAGGGAAGGGACCAGGGGGGAGGAAGGAGTCCGAGAGCGAGAAGCGTAAATAATCACAGATCTATTAATATGCTGAATCATCACAGTGGAAGGAGTACTTCATTGAGCAATGCAGTTGTACATCCTTTCAAAATAATGAACAGTAACATATGCACATGTGTTAACAGTGGATACTGTGGAAATCCCCTCAGAGTCTTACATTATTGATGATTTGACATTTTAATATTAAAGCGGGTGTTAATGCTTTACATTCTGATGAGTATTGTAAAACTACTACTGTAGTTAGCATTTTAGAAGGATACAGGCAGATTAGCACAAACGGTTGTCGGTTGACGGAAGATCTTGTGGTAGTTCATTTAAACATCCAATTTGCTTTTGTGTTGTTTAATGTGTATCACAGCCTCACTGCTGCTACAGCGATGGTGTTTAACAGCATCCGGAAGGTGTGCAGCTGGCTACCTGAGCAGTGGCGACATCCACCACTTTCTTACTGACAAGGTCAGACTTGTTCCCCACCAGCAGCCTGGAGACGTTCTCACAGGCGTAGCGATCTATCTCGTCCAGCCACTGCTTCACATTGTGAAAGGACTCCTGTGGACAGAAGAGAGACGGAGACAGAGAGAGGAGGAGGGGAGAAGTTAATGTGCAACCTCCTTCCCATTGTGTTGTTGAGGCCGGGCGGCAGAAACACACGCTGACCTGCTCCGTGACGTCGTAAACGATGATGATGCCGTGGGCTCCCCTATAGTAGCTGGAGGTGATGGTTCGAAACCTCTCCTGCCCCGCTGTGTCCCACTGAGGGACACACACACAAAAGGAGGATGCGCCAGTGTGTCCCGACTGCAGAACAACCGAGCTTCTACATCAAACACTGCTCTCTCATATGATATTCAGAGCATTGATATAGCAGGAGACTATTATCTATGTAAAGCTAAAGTTTGAGTAAAGTATACCTGAGCAGAGGTGAAGTGTTTGTGCGTGTGCGTGTATGTGTGTGGTGTTGTAATTTGAGCGTCTCTGTTTATGTTCCCGAGCTAGCAGCCGATAACACCGCACCTACCAACAGCGTCGCACAACCCCTCCACTGTTAGCTGTGTCATCACTGTTGACATTGTTAGCTGCTAGCCGCCGGCTCGATGAGCTGTAAATATGTCATTTAGCGTCTTTTGACAAACTAAGCAGGAGGTGTTTCCTGAGGAGAACTCATCCAACACCGCTCTCTTACAATCTGGAGTTTCACTGTCTTGCTGTCCATGTCAATGGTCCTGATCTTGAAGTCCACTCCGATGGTGGAGATGTAGCTCTCAGTGTAGGTGTCATCCTGAGGGGAGGCACATTTTTGGGGTAAGTAAAGACATTTTTGTCTGTCCTCACTTTGGGACGGTTCTTCTAGTGCCGGATTCAGGGGGTTTGGTTCTAAAGGTGAAGCGGTCAGGCTTTTATTCCTTACAGGACAGGGCTATTATGTCAATAGGTGTGCTCACACAAATAGAAGTACAAAGTTGTGTACAGGTTTTTCCTTATAATCCTACCGCAAAACGCAGCAGCAGACAAGACTTTCCGACTCCAGAGTCACCAATCAGAAGAAGTTTGAACAGGTAGTCACTTGAGGAGGAGACACATACATACACATGAAACATTGGGGGGAGCTGTTCTTGTTAGTCTTTAAATCACTTTTGGAGATTAGGATTATCGTTGTATATTTTGTAAATAGCTGTTAAAGATACAAATCAGTAGTCTTAAAGTTTTGGATGGAAACAAAACTGTGTTGCTGTGTTGAGTATTTTCATTATCATACTACGGTTTGCAAAGTTTGCTAAATTGTTTGAGATTGTTTTAACTTTATTCCAACTATATATTTGTTACCCCATTTTTGACTAGAATAATATTCAAATAAAAAAAATCTTCCAGCGCTGTGCTTCTGAAAATCCCACAACAGAAGTTTTAAGTGGCGGCGGAGCTTGTTCTAAAGCCTCCAATTCCCATGAACTACCTGGGCCTAGTGATCCAACTGCAGGTTACCCAGAATAAGAAAAATAACTAGATGTTTTCTTCTGCACCCCTGGACACTCAATGATCGGCTCTGTGGCTGACAGGTACCTCATAGTCAAAATCATCCGTATTGTGTTTCCTACACATATAGAATTAAAGCAACATATCTTTACTCATCATCACTTAATCATAGGATGGAGCTAAAACATTAGTACGCACACAATCTTGCAGTAGCATTAAAACACCAGAAGAGATATTTCCCCTTGTCCAGGTGGTAAACAAGTAACTCTTCACATCAACAGTCACTGTCAAAGAGCAGATGTCGGTGTGTCCCACTGTTAAACGCCATAGGAAACAACACACAGCGAAGATAAACAAATACTTACTATTCAGGATTCATGATTGCTGCGGTGGCTCCAGGTGACACGACAAAATAAAGATCCCTGAAATTGAATCCTAAAACTGAAAACAGTCAGATTATCTCTGTGATGGTTTCTCCTGTTCTCGGCATATATGTGTGTGTGCGAGTGTGTGTGTGTGCTTTGGAGGGCAAATGGCAGAATAAGCTGGAGCTACCGGCTGACTGGTTCAGATGCATTATTTATTAATAAAGATCCAGCTCAGGTTACACTGGGGACAGCACCTGGAACCGAACACACACCGAGAGGCCAATACAACACCTCCCCCACCCCTCCGCTGAGTCCAAACTAAAATGGACTAATTTCTTAGTATTATATCATATTTACTCGTTTCCCTTCTGTGATGTATCTGTAATCGCATCCGGCGTGTTTTGTGGTGAGTTTAGCAGCCTTTGCCGCTTGGACATCCCATCTGCACGTTTAGCCTCAGCCAACAGGCAGGGAGAGCAGCACGAGAGATACACCAAAGGCATATTACAACACATTTGTGATTTATATTTTTATATAAACCAATTTGATCTTTAACCTCAAACCACTGCTGTCAGCCAATAGAGGTCCAAACAGACGGAAATTCCTTGGTTCTTTTTTCTTTAAAACTAGGTTCACGTTTCACGAGCAAACAAGAGCGACTTTTCTTTGCGGTTTGAAGTCGTGTTTCAATTTATGTTTTTTATCACATTTGCTAGCATGTTCCTCCATGCGGGAGGCATGCATGTTTGCTAGCTAAGCTGTCCTTAGCTTACTTAACATTCAAATAATGAATACAATTAATTTACTGACGGGAAACTTACATTAAATAATAATAAGACAAGGCAGCAGTCTAGTTTATTTTTTACATAATGTTCAGTTGTCAATTTTGCGGCCACGCATGTGTTACTAAGGCAAAAAGAAGCAAAGTTTTTGCAGTGTACGTTAGTCTTGCCAATATAGTACCTCCTAAAAGGTTGAGGTGAAAGGCACTCTGTGTGCTATTGCTGGAGATAATCTGGGATCGCACAACATCCGTGGTTTCATTGAAAAATTTTGTGACATAGATCGTGTAACATTTATTTCCACACAAAGATAATGTGCAGCACATGCCTGTAAATTATATAGATTTATCTATTGGTATTAAATCTGATTCCAAGTTCAATGAACTTGCTTTCATGTAACCCTGGTTTACCGCGATGCTTAGGCCATGATCTTTTTGAAGGCATTGTATCATATGACCTGGCATTTCATATCAGCCATCTCATCGAATAGAAGGAGTTCACTTACTTGCAATTAAATCAGCACATAAATTACTTACAATATCTTGGCAATGATGCCAAACACAAGCCATGTGTTGTTAATCCTGGGAGTGAAATTAAGTGGACATGCTGTCTAGAATTGGACGCTACTCAGGGTCCTGCCAGTCTTGATAGGGGACAAGATTCAGTTGAAATGGAAGTGTGGCAACCCGTATTACAGCTTAGACAAATTGTGGAGGTAATTTGTGCACCTGCCATCACCAGAGACCAGATAGAGAGACCAGTCTAGAGCTAAGAGACACATACAGTATGTTGGGCTTCTCTTTAGTGGCATTGCAGCATTCTGTCCCATCACTAGCTAATGTCTGAAAAGGTTTGAGAGGTCACACTACCATGTCTTCCTGGAGAAAAGATAAGGTAATTGGTCGAAAAGCTGTTACTACAGGGAGTAGAAAGCAGACAAGACCAGAAATATGTACGAGAGGAACACATGGGGGAATCAGGCCCATCCTGAGTGCTGGAAATTACAAAGTAATTCACTTGTAATTCAGTTGATGCCGCTCATATTTACAACCTTGCTGCTCAATACTGGAGATCTTTTATTTTTATATACTGCCCCATGTATAATTCATACTGTGCTGTATATTTGTCTTATTTGTATACATCACATATATATATACTCTGCACTTTATCTGCTTTCTTGCTAAATGCTAAACTACATTTCGTTGTCTTATTACCTGTACTCAATCACCTCATCTGTTGATAGCTCTTCATACTCAAGCAGCCCCATGTTCTCTCCTCAACCATCCTCACGACCACATATAAAGAAGAGCTGTCCTGAAGCCTTTCAGGTAAACTGGAACAAAATTCCCCTGGATTTGCTGTCTAAAGTTATGAGTGGTGAGTTAAAAGTAACAAGATATGACACGTATACGACACGACTTCAGTGTTTTCAAAAGTCTGTCCCTGAAGCTTACTGCCACGTCGGGTGACACTGCAGCTGCCACAGACCATAATGAAACAATGGTTACCGTTACAGAAAATTCTACTGCACTTCTACCGTCACTATTACCTGGTAAGTGAGAGTACCTTGTATGATATCGTGTGTGTGTTTGTGTGCCTGTGTGATGTCACAGTGCTTAGTGTATGGGGTGTCGCTCTAGGACAGGCGAGTATGGTGCTGGGAGGGGGAAATCACAGTACCTATACTCACTACAAAAATATAGACTACACCACTGTAGAGCACTTGAACAGGAACAACACCCTTGCTAGGCATTGAGCATTAAAGGATGCCACAGGAGCTACCTCAGCCCGAGGACCAGCAGACAGCTATAAGTGCAGAACATGGCAGCCAGAGCTACCAGCTGAGGAAACCTAACATGCCCTTGAAGGTTTGAGACAAAGGATAAAAAATATCTTGTATCAGCCATGAAGGTTTGGCGGGTGCAGGAAAGGAAAAATACCTGCTACACAAACCACAGAACTGCTCACATACATTTGCATCCTGAGAAAAGTGGAGGCATTTCCTATAGACCAAGGCAGATGCATCTTCAAGGCAAATCCCACAACAATGAAGTGATGAAGGTCCTCTCGCAGGAAAACGGTATAATATTCTGCAACTTTACAATAAAAGGTTTTACAGTGTGCATGCATAAGTGTACCATGACAAATTCATTGATTGAATAAACCAAAGGGCAATGCAGAGATGAACAATATGTCTGGGAATTTGCTCAAACGAATGAAAGCAAACAACAAAAGAGCTGAAAGCAATTTGGGGGAAGTTTAAATAATGTTTTGCCACATAATTTAAACACTACATGGAGGTAAACTGAAGTGAGTGTGTCTGAAATATCCAAATTCTAATAATAATGACACAATTCCTCATTGCACCAGTTGAAGCAGGACTTAATGGTTTTTATTAATTGATATTTTATGAATGAAAATGTCACATTCATCACTTCAGCGCCTTCTAGATTTTAAGCAGAGAGAGAGATTTTCCTCTCCTTCTGAGCATACTTAGTTCAAAGCAACATACACGTTCAACCCTGCATACACACAATAGCACTCACCCACTGAGCCACTCAAACAGTGCACTGATCTGCGTTGTTATTGAGACACACACAGTGTGAATTTGGCCGATTTTTCCTCTTGTTGTTCTAACAGCTGTGCTGAAGCATGACGTTATTGTTTTTTGATCGCTGCGCTTTATTGGTATAACAAAGCGGTTTATTCCAAACTGCCAATTGAATGGAGAGAGAGGTGTTGAAGTCTGAGTCAGCCAGCTGGGTCAAACATAATTGAATATTTATCTACTAAACTGTAATGTATCTTTAAACATTAGGGTTGAACTGCTTCTTTGAAGGCGGGGAAATTAGTCTTTGATATTAAGGAAAGTGTGGGAAAATAGTGTAGTTCGATGATTGTGATTATTTCAAAATAATCTATTACTAGAAATGTTTGAAATTTGTCATCATTGTGATTTTAATGTGTTTTTTATCAGTTTTGAAAGCAGTGTAGTAGCTTAAAAATATCCTGCAAATATAGTTTTTTGCATTTTGTGGACTGAAGTATTGAACAATGCTTGTGAGCCAGTGGGTTGCAGCCGACCCTCCTCCTGCCAACGACCGATCAGCTGCATCACAGGTCAATTGGATTATTGGACTGTTCCATTTTGCAACCGCAGGAGGGGCGTAGTCAGATGCCTTCACATCAAACCTACAGAGGAGGAATGTTTTCACACCCTGCACTTAACTATGGACTGGTCAGCCTATAGTATAAACCTGCAGTTCAAGAAATCCGGAGTGCCTTTTTTTCGGGAGGGCACGCATTATGTTGTTGTTAAGTTTAGTGCGTTTATTTAGGTATACTTTGTTTTTGTCACCCTGTGTAGATATCTTGGGTGAATAAAGTCTTTACTTTTCTCACTTCAACCCACTTAATGCATACCCTCACAATAATAATAGATGTGTATATACTGCATATGTATATCTATTCATTTTGGGGGTCGAGGGGGCATTTCCACCCATAAATGTCCTTTATAAAATGATTTGTTTTTCCCCTGCATAGAGTTTGAAAAGTTTTATATTGATGGCTGTATTTTGTTGTCCATTGTGTAACGATTGATCAAAAGAATATGATAATTTGACCACAAGTTGTCGTGTTTGATGAAAATATTTGCTTTAGTTGCATGTATATAATGTTTTGTGTAAATCTGTTTTGAAAATATGATGTCAGTGTACAAATGTGTTTAAGCAATCAAGAAGAGACGGAGGATTTGAACCTTCACAGGAGTTTACAATGCGTGATTAGACTACACGTGTTGTTGATGTGTTGATTTCTTTGTCGTTGTATTCTTTAGTACATTTAATAAATTGAAAATATGTTATTCTTTAATAACATCCTGTTCATGTGAAAATTCTACTTTAAAAATAAAAGTTCATAATTTATGTAATGCTCCCTGTTGCTAGTGTTTTTTAGGTCAGTGTCTTATGAGTGACATGCATGTGTGTTTTGTTGATCTGAGTGAGTTTTGGAAGTTTGATTAACTAACCAAAGAGTAACCAAGAGTTTTGAACATGTGCATCAGTATTGAAAAATGCTTGCTATCAATTGAAAAAAACGTAATTCAATAAAGATGCTAAATCTGAGGGATTGCCTCCCTAATGCTCTCAACTTGGCATGTGACCGTTGAGATTCAGAACAAGGCGTTAAATAATGTGCAAAGAATTCCTTGAAACTGGTTACCTTATCCTTAAAGGTGCTAAATGCAAAATGAGCACCTTTAAGGAAACCTATTGCATCCACACAGTTCTCAACATGGCGACAGCTGTTTTGCCAGTCTCTACAAACCTAAAACTTTCAGAACATCTTTCTGACTGTCAAGTGCTAACAAAAAGTGTGTAATCTCATGTAATGTCAAGTTTCTGATTAACGCCTGGTCAACTTTTAGAAAAC